TCTTAAAAAAGAGATTCTCTGAGTGAAAATCTTGATATTATAAGTATCAAGCTTGCTTCAACTGCAGATATTAAAATCATGATATAAAAGATTACACTCAGTGTGTGCAGTTAAGAGAAGTAAGAGAGTTAAAAAACTAGTAGAATCAGTGAGCTTGAAGACACTCACTGATATTCTATAAAAAGTCTTCAAAGTGAAAGAGATGTCTGTATTAGATGACTCTCTGAATTCTATGAATATAAAGAAGAAGCAGGCTTCTGAATGAGATGCAGATGAGAATGATGAAGCAGATACTCATCTCAATATTATAGAGTCTGAAATGTTAATATATAAGAAGCACTTGAGTAAGAATTAAGAGATAACTGTAAAAGTGTTAGCAGATACAGAAGCTTCTATATAATATATTAATAATTATATAATCTGAAGACTGAAAGAAGTCTGCTAAGTGAAGACTTTCTGATGTATAAGATTATCTAATAACTGATATTTAATATTATCTACAAGAGTAAAAGTTCTCTTGCACTTCAGAGAATAATCTTGCTATATTTAAGTATAAGAGCTGTAGAATGTGAAATATAATCTTATTCTTAAACTCAATTAATTTCAAAGATTCAATCTGCAGATTCAATGATGTACATATTATATACAGTTAATCAATAGAAAGAAAATAATTCATACAATTCTATCAACTGATATGAGAAGAACATTTCACATCTCTGATATAGAAGAGTTAAATCTGCTTATATATTAATAAATAAAGAGAATAATTTATAAGATCTTATCTGAAAGTATTCTGTATATCATACAGAATCTGAAAGTGAAGAAAACTAAGATAAAAGATATACAGAAGAATAAGTGTATGAAGAAGCTTCTGAAGAAGTATAAGAAGATCTTCTGAACAGATCTTTCACTAAAATTGCTGCTGAAACAAGAATTTGTACATGAGATTGATACAGAGAATGCAAAATCAGTCAATTAGAATGTATATTCTCTGTTATAAACATATCTTGAAGAACAGAAGTATCAGATCACAGATCTTCTAGAATATAGTCTTATACAACTCTCATCAAACATATAAGACTTTTCAGTTCTATTCATAAAAAAGACAGATGAAGAGTGATGAATGTATATTGATTATCAAGCACTTAACAAGCTTACAATCAAGAATGAATATTCACTATCATGAATTCAATAACAGTTGAATACAGTTGAAAATATCTGATATCTATCAAAGATCAATCTTCTCTCAGAATACTGACAGATCTGTATAGATGAACTGTCAGTCTCATGAACTATATTTAATATGTAATGAAGAAAGTTTGAATTTCTGATAATATTATTCAGTCTGATAAATATATCTATTATCTTTTAAATGATGATGAATACAATTCTTTATAAACAGAATGAAATCTCATATCTTATATATCTTAATAACATTCTAGTCTTTTTAAACTCATATAATGAATATCTGAAGCATCTTAATAAAGTGCTTACAACTCTGACAGAGTATAAGCTCTATATTAAATTAACAAAGTGTATATTTGAAATGAAAGAGTTGAAGTTTGTAGAATATGTAGTGAGTGATAACTGTATATATCTCATTCTGAAGAAATTGAATGTCATAGTGAATTGACTGTGACTGAGAAATGTATATTATATACAACAGTTTCTTGAGTTGATCTCATATTACTGCAGATTTATCAAGAATTTTATACAAATATCTGCATCACTCTCAGATCTCTTAAGAGAAATGAATACAAATCTGTGAAAGAAGAAGTTTCATTCAATCATCTGAAATACTGTATATAAAGAGGCTTTTCTCACACTGAGAGAACATGTAATAATATTCTCAGTGCTTATTCAATCAGATTATGATAAACCTTTCTACATTGAGACAGATATATCTGAATGAGCTATCAGAGATGCTCTTCTACAGATGAGTAAGAATGATAAGCTGCATCTGATAATGTACAATGATAGAAAACTATCAGATGTCAAGCTCAATTACTTAGTGTATAAAAAGAAATTGCTAGTGATTAAGCATACACTGATGTTATGAGATAGATATATTAACAACAGACATATAATAATGATGATTACAGGTCATAAAAGCCTTATCTATCTATAATCAATGATAAAACCTTTCAAATGCTTAGTATATTGAATCTTGAAGTTTCAAGTGTATAATCTTCATATTAAATACTGAAAGAGATTGAATACTGTGATGTCTGATACAATCAGTCACAGACCTGATTTTATAAGTGAGAATTCTACAAATCAGATATAAGAAAAGTTTGTATTAAATATGCTGAGAGAGTGCAAAGAATCAGAATGAGTGAATATTATAATCTCTTACTTAAAGAATGATAAGATATTGAATAATAAGTATCTTATGAGAGTAGTAGAAGAGATGCTTCTGAACTTCAAGCTGAGAAAATTGAAAAATGATGTTATACTTTACTGTGATCTAGAATATATAGAAGCTCTCTATCTAGAATCTTTATTTAGATATGACTTGATAACTTGCATGCACAAGGAATTCAGTCACTTAGAAAGCTCTGAACTCATGAGTGTACTTGAATCAAGAGTATACTAGTCAAGCATGACTGAGAACATTCAGATATATACTCATGAGTGTCTGAATTACCAGATTGTGAAAGAATCTAAGAAAGGATTAGAATGTAAGAAAGTACAATATCAGATAAAGTGTATAATACAACTATTCAAACAATGAGAGATGAATCTCATAGATATATTATCATGAATATCAAATGAAAATTGATGAATAATCACTGCTATTGATTATACTACTGACTGGTCAGTTATGAAAGCAGTTTCAGAGGTGATAGAGAAGATAATAGCAAAGTTTCTACATGATGAGATCTATATTAACTATGAAATACTGTGTGAGATTCTAACTGATAATGATGTGAATCTTGTAAGAGAAGTAATGAGGCATTTCATGAGTCAGTTACAGACAAGACATTGTAGAACAACATTATATTATTCATGAATAAACAGAAAGATGAAACACTTGAATAGAATCTTGAGCAATATGCTGATGAAATATCTAGTGAGCAAGTCTATAAGACTATGAGATAAATATCTCAGACAGGTGCTATTGATCATGCGGATTCAACAGCATGCAGTCTTCAAGTGTTTACTATTCTACCTGTTGTATGAATTGCATCCGCGCATTCTGAAGAATGCTTCAGAAAAGATGGAAGAGGAAATAGTAGTTACAGATGCAATAGTCACAGATGCAGCAGAAACAGTAGTTACAGACACAGCAGTAGCAGTTGTGAATGCAACAGTCACAGACATAGAATCAAGATTGAAAGAGATCAGCCATACACATGCAAAAGCTAATAAGTTACTTCTAAACTAAGCAATTCAATTGAAAAGAATATGAGACTCACTAGTTAAGAAATTGAGTCTCAAGATAAGAATATAAGTTCTTATATATAATGAGAATTCTGAGAAGTTTCAATCTAGATGATTTAAATCATATAAAATACTCAAATCACATTCTCTGAGAACATATGTATTGAAAGAATCAGAGAGACAGATCTTATATAACTTAATCAATGATTCATGACTTATAAAAGTAAAGATGCAAGATCTGAGTGAATTATAATCATCTATAGCACTATTATCAGTATTGAAAAAGAAAAGACTTATAATTGAAAAGTCTTATAAAGTAAGAGAAATCATAGATGCTTATAAATCAGATAATCTCACTTATTTCAATCTTTTTATAATTATAAGAAAAGAATGAGAAGTAATGAAGAAATTAGATGAATATCACACTTTAATAAGTAATGAGACTGTAGCTGATCATATAATAATATATCACAGATAGCAGACACAACATGATAAAGAGTAGTCTCAAAGTGACAGACTTGTATATGAATCAGATTACAGAAGAAAAAGAGATTCAGAGTTAAATTTAACTATTTACATCAGTTCAATTGCAGAGATTATAGAGAATGAACTATCTGAAACATCTGCAGATATATGAAATTAAGCTATCTTAATCTCTGAAGACACTCAGAGATCAGATAAGATTAGTTTTAATAAGCTGTTCACTGTAGTGATCTGAGCAGGTAAAGAGAGACAGTATAATATATGAGATAGAATTATAAAAGATAAAAGCTGCTGAACCTAGTCACTGAACACTGTATTATATAGAGATTGTGTAAGAGTAGTGACTAGCAGATAAAGAAAAAGTATAAGAAAAGAAAAGAAATAATGAATTGATTATTAACTGTAAGAGTTGACTGTAAAAGATAAATGTTATCATATATATCTCATTCATTTTCATACATTACATATTTAATCTATTTTCAACATCACATCACCTGGAAAATACTAAAAATAAAAGAAATCTTAAAACTTGAGATCTGTAAGAAATTTGAGAACTGCAAGCTGCTCTTGTAATAATGCTATGTATGTCTCTGATTTCTCTACTACTCTGTGTACAACATTAATGTCATTTATTGCAAGATTGACTAGAATATCAATATAGAAATGCATACACATACATGTAGAAAAATTGAAGAAGAGTATGAGATCTGCAGAATCAGAAGTCAGGACAGAGAGAGCAGAGATAGAAGAAATAGAAGAAGAAGAAGATACAGAACTGAATAAATAATGACAGAAGTCACTCAAGACTGAATACTTATAATCTGATATACACACAACCTTCTCTGCAGAGAAGAGAGAGAAAGTGACAGAAGAAGCTTGAGAGTGAGAGAGAGTAGTCTCAGTGATATTATCATCTTCAATTAAAATAGTCTCTGACACTGAAGTAACTAAGAACTATTATTAGTGTATGAAACTGTAAAAGCAGAGATAATAATTACTGAATAAATACTCACTAATCTTAGAATTATATACATAATTACAACACACATGAGACTTCTTAGAAAGAGAGAGAGAGACATGAAGAAATACAGAAAGTAGAACACAGTATACAAACAGCTCATTCTCATGATAACATCTCAGATAAGATATATAAGTCTTATATCTATAAATGTAAAAGAGTACAACATCTGTATTTCTATTTCTGAAAACACAGATATCTTTTATCTGTATTACAAAGTCAGATAACAGATATCAGAGAATAGACTGATACAGATCTATTATTCTGAAGAAATTTATCAGAGTAGATATCTCTGTGATATTGAACTTTACAGTTATAAAAAGTTTCTTAGTATCTGTGAATATCATGACTTTATATATAATAAAACTCATAATAATTTCCTCTAAGAACAGAAAAATCAGTGTTAGAAAGAAAAGATGAAAAAGAAAAAGACTTATAATCTTAACACTGTTGAGAGAGAGAGTAATTCTCTGATATGAATAAATAATTATCTCATTATAAATATTTAAAATGAATATAATAATCAGTGTCTGTAACTGAGCTTTAGATAGTTGTATTATATACAGTCTTTATATAATAAATTGTTCTAAGAATTGACAAGAAGAGTAGAAGTGTATGTACTGAGAAACATGATTTATTAAGTCTATACAATATCTTCTTGAAATGAGGAGAGCTGATAATGAAAGCAGAGACAGTAGAACCAGAAGAAGCAGAGATAGCAGAAGTGAGAGAATCAGACACAGAGACAGAGGTAGCAGGAGCGGGAGAATCAGACACAGAGGCAGATGTAGAAGATTGAGAAGAAGAAGTGATAGAGAAAGGAACAGAGAGAGCAGAAGAGAATATGAAAGACTCAGTCACATATAATATAAGCAATTCCTTCATTATTATGTTCTTCAAGTTCTCAATCAATGATTCAATATTGAGTTCACTATTATCAGTAAATGCAGATCTGTCAACATGTGAAGATTCTATATAAATAAAAATAAATATATCAGCATCTGCATTCATGCAAAATTATATCAGAAAACATGATCAGAAACTCACTGAGAAGAAAAATAATTAAGAGTATATAAGAAGATGAAGAAGATATGTCATTTATAATAGTATATTTTAACAATTGTTAGAAGATAAACAAGTTCTGATCATGTTTCATAACACATTACACTTACTGCTAATAAACTGTCTGATATGAACACTATGAGAATACTTGTTATGAGAATAGAGAACTATCATCAGAAACACATACAATGTAATAGATAAACAGATGAAAAGAGTTGAATAGAAGAAGAGATAGAAATCTTGAATGAGATAGTGATATTCAATGATGATAATGATGAAGAAGATGATTGAAGAATGAAAAAAGTTAGTGAATAAGTGATGTAATATAGTAAAAGTCTCTTTGTGAGAATGTATACAGAATACTAGTCAAATCAGAGATAGATCACAAGATTACAAATACTAGTGACACACTAATTCACATGAAGCTAGGACAGATGTTATGATCATGTGAGTGTGACTGAATCTGGTGAGAGAGAATGTAATTCAGAAGAATGTACAACTGTTGAATAATAATGCAGCTGCTTCTGAACTTGCTTACAAATGTAAAGAGGTCATAGCAGACACTAATTAATTTAGTGTACAATATATAAGAAGCCGGCGTACGCCTGTAATTGTACGCTGGCAGAGGAGACCTTTGAATGACATCTCTAATAAAATAGGTTAACTGTTTTATATCTAAAAGAATTATACAACTTTTCTTTGATGAAATGAAACAAGACAAGACTGAGATAAAAATAGAAGTATCATAAGAATCTTCAATCTCACTCATTTTATTTGCAATATACACTGTATATCTATTCAAAAATAGAAATATGAGAATAGTGTGATCTCTGAGTTATGTGAATGATATTGATCTAGTCTACAGCTCAAAAACTATCAAAGAGAATTTGAAAGTAATTGAAGAAGCTGCAAAGGAAATCTTTGTTAAAGCAGATATCAATCAAATTCAATTTGATATGAATAAAACTGAGTTGATTCATTTCTTTCCTAGATTCAATAAGAAAGAACTATCTCTAACTCTTTTAAATAGAGAGATTAAACCCAGTGTAAATGTTAAATAATTAGAAGTATGGTTAAACTTCAAGTTGAATTTTAAATATCATATTCAACAAAGAACTGTCAAGGCAGAAAGACTATTGAATAACATAATCAGACTATTAAATACAGAGAGAGATCTATTCTTCCAGGCTATGAGATAGTTATATATAGTCTGTATTATATCAGTAGCTGATTATAAAGTTTAAGTTTGATGAAATAATCAAGGGAATTTCACTGAACTCTTTCAAAGTCTGTAAAACAGAGTCTTGAAAAGAATTCTGAGAGTATTCAAATCATCTTCTATTAAAGCAATGAAAATTAAAGCTTCAATTCCTTCTTCTACTATTAGATTTGAAAAGGCCTGTATGAACTATACTCTGAGAGTTATAAAGATGAGCTTAAATTATATAATCAGAGAAAGAGTCTCTTCCTCATTTTCATCAATTAACTCTGGAAATGAACTGAATTGAAATAGATTTCTTGATTGAAATGAAAATAATTCTTCAAAGAAAATGTCTTCTCAACTGTACAGACTATGCTCACTGATTAAAAATCAATTTTCTTCTTTAAATGTTGAAAAAGTTGATCATGAGAAGTTATCTCTCTGAAGAGAAAAGCTTGAATCTCTTATAGACTTATAAATAAGTGAACTATCTAAAGAGAAAGAATATGAACAGCATTTGAAGAGAATTTCTACAATAAATATAAAAGACTCTATTCTGATTTATTCAGATGACTCAAAAATGAGAATTTGAATAGATTAGATACAGACATTGCTTATACTGAAGATAATATTAATTTTATCTCAGATTTCTGAAATTTAGACTGTGAATCTAAAGTCTTTGACACTGAACTATTTGCAATAGTGAAAGCTTTCAAACTTATTAAAATAAAGTATCATAAAAGAGAAAATAGTTTGAAAGAGATATGAATATTCTCTGATAGTCAAGCTACTTTAAAAAGACTTAGAAATAGTCAGATTTATAATTATTAAATGAATCTTGAACTGATCTTAAACTCTGTTTTGAAAATTCAAAAGAGAAGAACATCAAAGCTGATAATTTATCAGCACTGAATTTCTGCTTATATGAATATTCATGATAATGAATTGGCTGATTCAGCTGCAAAAAAGAGTGCAGAATTAAGCAGATTTATTCAAAAAATTATGTTCTGATCTTTTATAAAGAGAAAAATAAAAGAATCTTGTTTAGATAAGTGAAATGAAAGCTGGCAGAAACAAAAGAAGAGTATACATTATTCAAGATTTAAAACAAAATCTAAGTGAAAATCTTGTTCAATTAAATGTAAAAAGAAAATATTCTCATCTATAATACAGCTGAAACTAGAACATGACTATTTTAAATCTTATATACAAAGATTTAATGATAGATTTGACTTAATAGAATACTCATTCTGTAATACAAATGAGAATTCTGAGTATATTGTAATACACTGTGCATTATACAATAGTCTCAGAGTCAGATTGAAAGAGAAGTATGATCTAAATTAATTAAATATGAGATTCTTATTCTTAACTGAGACAGGAATTAAATACTTAATAGACTTTCTATCAGAAACTCAAGCAGCTACAAGAAAATGACTAAATTCAGAATTATCTGAATATAAAGAGAAGAAAATCAATCAGATATAGTCTGTTAAAACAGCTATATACTATCTTTTAATAATTTGTTTTGTTACAGTCTCTCTTTATTTTATCTTTTTCTTTCAATTCCTTTCTATCTATCTATTTAATGTGTCTATCTTTAAGACTGTGTTCTCTTTTCCTTTGTCATGATATTGTCAAATGATTTCAAAGTATTAGAAGATATTAAAACACTGCAATTTGTAAACAGTTTTTGTATTCTGAGCTAGAATTTTCTGATTTTGTATATCTAAAATTGATGAATGTATAATAGTTAACTTTACAGATATAGGAAAAACCCTGAGAACTAAAAGTTCTCAGGTAGATATCATAGTCTCTGACTGTATACATCTATAATTGAAAAATAATAATAATAATAACTATCTAATGTTAAAACCATGTAATGGGATCGGTCAAATTGATAATGAAACTATCAAAAAATCTGGTCCTGGTTTCAGACACGGTCACACGGTCAGTCTAGTGAAAATCATGGTCTCATTTGAAAAATGTAACAAGAGTAGACAGTATGTCTCACTGAAACAGTATGAAACTACTATCTAATGTTAAAATCATGTAATGGGATCAGTCAAATTAATAATGAGACTATTAAAAAATCTGGTCCTGGTCTCACACACGGTTACACGGTCAGTCTACTGAAGATTATGTCTATAGACTCAATTTAAGAGTGTTTATAAATAATAAGTATTTCTTATAGAAAAATAGCTTAATTCTGTAAGAAATACTCAAGAATATTCTTCACTAAGATTAATTTATTCATGAGTTCAAAGAGTTTCTCTATTATAAATATAGAGAATAATATTTTATAAGTAATTAATAAGTTCTCTGAGACTTCTTGTATAAAGATTATTTATAATTTAGATAGCTACTTCTAAGTATCTGCAGTAGAGTTTACAGAGATTAAAGTATATAAGTTTCTAGTTTTTTTTAATTATAATAGACAGTTACTGACTGATAGAGCTTGAAATATAAGAATAAGTACTTACAGATAATTATTCAGATGTTTATAGCTTGATATAATATATATTAATAGCTACTAGAAGTATTCACAGCAGAAAGAGAAAATATAGAGACTTAATATATAATAGTATTTAAGCTGAGTTATAAATAGTAGTTGTGAACTTCAGTTTATATAGTTATATATAGTCAAGAGTCACTAACTCTATTAATTATATAAGAGAGAGAAATAGAGATAAAGAATCTATAAAAAGCAGAATTTCTTACACTATTACTCTTTTTCACTCTGTATTATTTTTATTATTTCTTTCACTTTTTACTCTTTACTTTTTTTATTATTTTTATTACTATTTTTTTTATTACTTTTTTTTCTATTACTTTCTATTACTTTCTATTACTTTTATTATTTCTTTTATTTCTTTTATTACTTTTACTTTTTACTTTTTATACTATTTCTATTTTATTTTTTTACAACTCTTTTTCACTCTGTATTATTTTTATTATTATTATTAGAGTAATTAAAGTTATATAAATTACAGAGTTAGTTATTTAATTTTATCTGAATTTAAAAATATATATATATATCATGATATAAAATTATATTATAGAGAATTTAACAGTATATATTATAAATACAGAGATTAAAAATAAATATAAAGAAAAGTATAAAAATTGTAAATATTGTAATAAATATATAAAAAGAGCAGAATGAAAAAAAGAATAAAGATTTGAAAATTAATCTAAGCTGTATAAATCAGAGTATTTAAATATTTTCAATGAAATATATATAATATTATATTACAGTATTTTTTATATAAAAAAGTTAGTTATTCTACAATAAATAATGTATATTAATAAATGTATAAATTGTAATAAATGTAGAAAAGAGTATAAAAAATGTAAATATAGTAGAGAACATTTGTAAAGAAAAGAATGAAAATTAATATCAGATGAACAGGCTCTGCAGCCTGTATGACTGGATTTGATAGGGGTGCACATGATATTTTACTAGGAAAAGTTGGTTTTTAACTCTGTCAAGCCCCATCGGAATAACTATCTTCCGCTCCAAGCCCAGCTCCAAAATAACAATTGATGAAGTTAAGGAGAATTTATTGATTGAAGATTACTTTCAACTTCTTAAATTCACCCACCCCCCAATTATCCGCCGCAGAGACATAAATGTCCCTTCTGCGCGAAGCTGAGAGATGTCTTGCTAACCAGAAGACATATGCCAGCCTCAATGCCTTCATAACTCCGCTGCACTGCGCCCGTCCGGGCCCATGGCGGGACCGCGTGCGGGATGCAGACGTTCGGAGGGAGAGGGGTATGTATGCGCACGCCTATATCTATTCCTTTAGGATATGTGACATTTTATTTCTAATATACTGCTCATCTTTACAGGTGCGGTCAAGTCGCCATTGGACGGCAAATTGGTTGCGATCAAGGATAACATATGCACCCGCGACATGCCCACAACTTGCGCCTCGAGAATTCTCGATTCATACACTAGCCCGTTCAACGCGACTGTCGTAGAGTCCCTGGAAAAAGCTGGGGCGATACTGGCAGGTAAAACGAACTTGGATGAGTTTGGAATGGGGTAAGCTTTGAGGGCTTTTTTTTTTTTTTTGCTAAGGGGGGATATGCTATTTGGAAATGCGGAGGAATTTTGGATGATCTGACTATTGAATGAAACACATAGGTCACACTCCATGAATTCACATTTCGGGCCGGTGAGCAATGTCACAGAAGCTGAAAGGGAGCCAATCTCCCCTGGCGGGAGCTCCGGGGGGAGTGCTATTGCTGTTGCAACGGGTCAATGTTATGCGTATGTTTCTTGATTTGTTAGTCCTTTTCTCGCAGAAATCATCTCCCCTATTAATCCCATACAGCGCATTGGGAACAGATACGGGAGGTTCTGTACGGCTCCCCGCCGCATACACAGGGACTGTCGGGTTCAAACCCTCCTACGGCCTCGTTTCGCGATTTGGTGTGGTAGCCTATGCAAATTCCCTAGACACCGTTGGTGTGCTGGGGTCAAATATCTCCACTATCCGTGAAGTCTTCAGCATGTCCAACCCCCCCCAATATCCCCAACTCAAACCCAACCACCATCATATTCCTCCTAACGAACGCACCGCAGAAACAATAAACCACCCAGACCCCCTCGACCCCACAAACCTCCCCCCAACAACCCGCACCCGCCTCACCACTGCCTTTACAACCCGTCCCTCATCCCTACCACGCTTCCGCATCGGCATCCCAACCGAATACAACATCCACGAACTCTCCCCCGCCGTCCGCACAGCCTGGCAGCTCAGCATAACTCACCTCCACCAGCTCGGCCACTCAATCCACCCCGTCTCGCTCCCTGCCACCAAACAAGCGCTGGCCGCCTACTACGTGCTTGCGCCCGCCGAAGCCTCCTCGAACCTGGCGCGGTACGACGGCGTGCGCTACGGGACGCGCGACACCAGCGCACCCGACAACGCGGGGCCCGGAGGCTATCTGTACGCGCGCACGCGCGGGGAGGGTTTTGGCAGCGAGGTGCAGCGGCGCGTGTTGCTGGGTGCGTTTTCGCTCAGCGCGGATGCGATTGATAATTATTTCCTGCAGGCGCAGCGGGTGCGAAGGCTTGTGCAGGGGGATTTTGAGAGGGTGTTTCGGGTGGGGAATCCGTTGTTGCCGCTTAAGGCTAACACTAAAGCTGATGCTGTGGATGAAGGCGGGGAGGGCTGTTTGCAAGAGGGTGTCGGCGTCGATGTGCTCGTCGTGCCCACCGCACCTACCCTGCCGCCGACGATTGAGTCTCTGAAGCGGGCGAGCGCCGTGGAGACGTATATGAATGATGTATTTACGGTTCCGGCGAGTTTGGCAGGGTTGCCGGCGCTTAGTGTGCCGGTGCCAGTGCCGGTGCAGGCGAGGGGGTTGCTGAGGGATAGCGATGGCGATGGTGATGGTGATGGTGATGAAGCTTTTGGGTCTGTGGGTATCCAGGTCATCGGGCAGTTTGGGGATGATGACATGGTGTTGCATGTTGGGGAGATGCTGGAGGGGATGGAGGTGGAGTAATTAATTGTAGGTGGATATCTGATGTTTTCCTGCCTACTACTGCGAGGTACGGCGAGAAGTTGTATGACTATAGAGCGGTTTTGTATATAATATAGCCATGGGTACAATGGATAGGAGTAGATATGTATTTTTTAAAGTCCTTTTTCTTCATTTTTACTCCATTTACCGCAAATATATGTTAAATTACCCCAATAACTAGAGGTTAATTAGAAGTACGTAGGGTACTCTTTTTTTTAGCAGATTGATGACGACCTTTGTAATCATACAAAACACGCAAATGCTTTTAACCAATATTTCTTTCCATCATATCTTCCATCCCTCCGCCACTCATCGCCATAAACCATGAAGAAGACGTATATACATAGGTATCATACAAAAATATAACCCTACTACTTACATCGACATCTCAACATCCTCAGACACCACCGTCTCGCCCGCAACAGACCCATACTGTGGCGTCCCAACGCTAAGACTCACACTCGTACCATCATCCATAAGCAGCCCAGCAGCCGCGGCTGCACTATCAGTAACACCAGCGCCATCGGCACTGTTCACAGCCATATCCACCGCCGTCGCTGCCGCAGCAGCCTCCGCCGGCGCCGTAGCAGTAGTCCCATCACCGCCCCACCCCATAAACAACGCCTCAATCTCATCCACGATTTCGGCAAGCACGTCCTCGACGATCTGTTCATCATACCTCTCCCCGAAGCTCTTTATAACCTGTCCCTGTCCCGGTCCCTGAGCAATGCCATTTCCATCCATTTCGGTTTCGGTTTCAATTTCAGTTGAGGAGGGCGGTCCAACCCACCACGGCCCTTCAAACCGCGCCTCCACCGCCCCGCCGCCATGACAGCTGACAATAGGGAAATATCCAATCATCCCATCGTCCGCGTTCTCCCTCTTGCCGACGCCGAGGTTATTACTCGCCTGCGTCGCGCGTGAGGCGGGCGGGAGGAACGCGAATAGATCGCGGAACGGGGTGCCCATTTTGACGCCGTTTTTGAAAATTGTGATACTTGACCCTGGCAGGGTGCGAAGGGAGGGGTCTTCTGTGTTCGTTGGGGAAGGGACGCCGTAGGTGGTGTGTCTTTGAGTGAATGCGTAGTCGCGCAAGTGTTTGGAG